TGGCAGCTAATGCGCTCCCGGTCCCACTCTCAAGGAGCTCCCTGCCACCTCACGCTGCTGCCTCTGTATCAAAAGGCAGCAGCACGGGGTACCAAGCGGGAGCTGGTTCACCATGGCAGTCAGTTTAGAAACCAGCTCCCCATGCAGACCGGTTGCCTGCCACCCTAGATTTCTGCCTCTGATACAGAGGGAGCAGTGCTGGGTGGCATCAGCACCTGTCCATGGAGGAGATCCAAGCTCCCCAAGAACAGAGGCTGGTCCGCAGCAGCAGACTCTGTCTGTAGGGAGCTGCTGCCATGGACCAGCCTTTGTCCGTGGCGGGCCCAGGCTCACTGCAGACAGAGGCTGCTCCATGGGGGCTGAAGCAGCCTCTGTCCGTGGGGCGCTCGGACCTCCCATGGACAGGAGGTGCTACTGCTGACCCTCTGTCTGCTGCAGGCACAGGCCATTGCAGAAAGAGGCTGCTTCATGGCAGCCTCTGTTTCCCCTCTGATAGACGCAGCAGAATGGGGGGCAGGGCAGGCAGTACCACGGAGCTGGTTCTGGGGGAAACTGGCTGTTAAGCCAGCTCCCCCCATCATGAGCTCATGCCTGCCCTGCGCCCCCTCGCTGCCTCGAGTGCGCGGAGCCAGCACACATAGGGAGCCTACTAGAAAGCTAGCTTCCTATGCGTATAGGCTCCAGCCTGCCCTCCTCATCCTCCACACTGATGCCTCTCTATCAGTGGCAGCAGCAGGGGGTGGGAGGGCAAGCAGATATGGTGCTCATGGGGAGCCTGCTTAAAGCCAACTCCTCACAGTCTCTGGCTCTCGCTCCCCGCCCCTTACTGCCTCTGATACAGAGGCTGTAGGGGAAAGGTGGCATGAAGTAGACAAGATTAATCAATAAGCCAAGGCTTATAAGTTGATTGTGTAATCAACTACATGTTAACATCCCTAGTAATGAGGGCCTCAAAAGATGAAACTAGGAAGCTTGACTTTGATGTGGTGGAAAATAAGAAGCTAGTGGAGGGATCTGAAGTAAGTGATGATATATTCAGAGTGAAGGGCAAAGAAAATCTCAGAAGTTATGTTTTGTAAGAATGAGGATGGCGTGATGCGAGTGCCACAAAGGAGGAGTTTACAATTATCAAGATGGCACATGACAAGGGCCAGAAAGTTTCAGCCTAGAAGTTGCTACCTTTGAGCAGTTAGCAAAGAGATCCATATATAATTTGTATGTTTTTTTACTAAACGTAGGCAGTGGTTTGGGATGGAAATCACATACATCATTATGTTTATAAGACATTTAGTAATCGATGGGGTGTAGACAGAAATGTGTTTTCTACCTGAAGAAACCAAGAAGGAGCAGAATACATACAGGCAGTCCCCGACTTACGCGGCTCCGACTTACGTCGGATCCGCACTTACGAACGGAGCTTTTCTCGCCCCAGAGGACACGGGTGGCGACCCGCCGCCCGTGAGCTCCGGGGCGAGAAAAGCTTCTCTCGGTCTCCCTGGTCTGCTGGGGGGGGGGTCCGGAAAAGCCGCTGGACTCCCCCAGCAGACCAGGGAGACCGAGAGAAGCTTTTCTCGCCCCAGAGGACACGGGTGGCGACCCGCCGCCCGTGAGCTCCGGGGCGAGAAAAGCTTCTCTCGGTCTCCCTGGTCTGCTGGGGGGGGGGTCCGGAAAAGCCGCTGGACTCCCCCAGCAGACCAGGGAGACCGAGAGAAGCTTTTCTCGCCCCAGAGGACACGGGTGGCGACCCGCCGCCCGTGAGCTCCGGGGCGAGAAAAGCTTCTCTCGGTCTCCCTGGTCTGCTGGGGGGGGGGTCCGGAAAAGCCGCTGGACTCCCCCAGCAGACCAGGGAGACCGAGAGAAGCTTTTCTCGCCCCAGAGGACACGGGTGGCGACCCGCCGCCCGTGAGCTCCGGGGCGAGAAAAGCTTCTCTCGGTCTCCCTGGTCTGCTGGGGGGGGGGTCCGGAAAAGCCGCTGGACTCCCCCAGCAGACCAGGGAGACCGAGAGAAGCTTTTCTCGCCCCAGAGGACACGGGTGGCGACCCGCCGCCCGTGAGCTCCGGGGCGAGAAAAGCTTCTCTCGGTCTCCCTGGTCTGCTGGGGGGGGGGTCCGGAAAAGCCGCTGGACTCCCCCAGCAGACCAGGGAGACCGAGAGAAGCTTTTCTCGCCCCAGAGGACACGGGTGGCGACCCGCCGCCCGTGAGCTCCGGGGCGAGACCAGCTCCGTTCGTAAGTGCGGATCCGACGTAAGTCGGAGCCGCGTAAGTCGGGGACTGCCTGTAGTTCCTCAGCCATCACAAGCTGTAGGTGGGTTACAGAGACTTTCAGATTTTCAGGACTGCTCTGCCTCAGGAGAGTTTCTCTTGCCAACATTGCTTTTGGAAAGCTACATTCAAAAGGAGAATTGGCATGATTTCTTTTTAGGGTAAATAAATGATCTGACTGCAGGTGCTTGCCTTGTGAAGCCAGGTGTGTTTGTGTTCACCCACAGGAGCTTTCAGATAGGGGCATCAGAGTAGCACCTCTTGCAAGGAACTGAAGAATCCAGCAGCAATGAGAAGTGAAGGAGCAAGGAATTAAGAAGAAAAATGCAATGCAAAACACGAAGCCGCTGAGCATTCATCCTCCAATGGCAAGTTTGCTTCTAAAGGTTTGGACCATGAATCGAAAGATGACAAGTTTCTCATCTCACATGCCAAAAGCCAGAGGCTTATTGCTGTAGCAGGTACTACAGTCACACGTGCCAGCACTTGGGGAAAAGCTGTACTGCATCATAAGGTAGTCTGCAGAATTGTAAATAACAAGACCTGGAGTAGGTTTCCCATCATAGAAGTTTTGCTATCATTGTCATTTTCAAAGTCCTGCTGTCATGCTTCCTTTTGCCTCTTATATACATGCTTCATCACTAGGTGCACAGGGGGAAGATGCTGAAAACAGCACAATGTCTCTTTAGAGGGCCATGTTAGTACTTATTTTGTCTCCAGAAAAGTAGACAGACACCTTGTGCCTCTTAGTCTTCCCTGTGCACAATGAAACATCTGATATAGCCAAACTGACTATAAAGTGTCTATTCCAAATAGAGCCAGAGCTAAATAGTGAAGCAGCAATCCAGCTACAAACTGCAGTCCAAACAGATGTTAATTTTACCTGATGAAGTTGATCTGAGGAAGCTCAGTTGGCTTTGGATTTCTCAAGGTATGAAAGCCCTGAACAAGATGTTGCTACATTGAATACAAACTGACCATTATAAGGTAATCCCCTGCATAGTCAGTGAGACGTGGAGGGGACGACAGACTCACCAGGCCCTTGGGCAAGGTCGGGGTGGGAGGGTTCCAGCTCCGTGCTCCTGTAAAGGGTGGGGTCTCAGCCAGCAGAGGAAGGGTTGGAGCAGCCAGTTCTTAGCATGCTGCACTGCGCCCTCCTCTCTCCTTTTCTCTGCCAGCCTCAGAGCTGTCCCAAGCACACCATGAGAGGTTCCAGTGGCAATTTAAAGGTCCCAGGGCTCCAGCTGCTGCATAAATAGTGGCAGCTGGAAGCCTTGTGTTGTCCCCTCCTTCCCGGGGGCTGAGAAGTATACTCGCAACTGTAAATGTCATTATTTTGTGACATCTTAATCAGGAGTGAGCTTGTCACCAGTATTCCTAATTCTCAAAGTTACGAAGAGCAGGAAGTTTATTCCATATTCCACCATGTCTTCTCTCACAGCAAAGAATTATTTTTACTTATTTTTGTTACAGTTACTCAGCAACAAGAGTTACCTTTCCACTCTCCCCCCTTTTTGACCTAGCAGACAGGTTAGGAAATTTCTGGTTTTGACTGATTGAAGCTATTTGTGAAAATTGGTTTCTTAGAAGAAGTGTGCATGTCTCCATAAGGAAACCACATACAGATGCAGAAACTATTCAATAGGACCTAGGTATAGCAACAAATAATGATCACTGAACATTGCAGTATTAGATGCTATCAGACCTATACACCTAACTATGAACATAACTATTGACAAAGTGGTTTCCTCTAGTTCTGAATTTAATCGTTTTGGTGCTGAATTGTCTTTTGGAAAGCAATACACAGTGAAGGGAGAAGGGAAATGAAAGTTCATTTTTGGGAGGAAATGGAGGAATGTAGTGAACAACTCCAAATCCAACAATCCCTGGCTATTAGAACTTACGACATGAGCTTTTGCACTGAAATTGAAACACTCAATCAACTCTGTTTAATTAAAACAGAGTGAATGAAAAACACACTAAGAGTTGAAGCTGAAAGTGTATTTTGAGTTTAGCTAAAAACCCAAAATACTATTTGACTCAACTCACATTTTATGCCATAAAAAATGTGAAATGGTCTGCAAATGAGTATTTATGAGATCCAGAATTTTTCAAGGTCATATAATCTGTCTCTCATTAACTCTTTCCTCATCAGAATTACACCACCTTAACTTCACTTAAAATTTGCAAAAATATATGCAAATGCCAAAACATATTAAATTCATAGGCTATTGTTGGAGATAGATTATTTGAATAAAAATAAGAGTTTACTTTTAACATATTAAAAAAATCATAAGTGAACTTCAAGTAAAAGTTCTAAACATAACATTTAGAATTATTTTTGTTTTTAGCAAACTTTACAAAACATAATAAAAAGCCCTGTATCCCCAACAGATACAGCATCAAAACTTCAGGGGAATTTGTTTCTTTTCTCCGAAGTGCAAAGGGGATGGAGGGAAAGAAGTAAAGTTTATGATGATAATAACTAGTTAGTTTCAACCTTTAATTACAGAGCAGCTATTACCACTCCCTAGTTCTGAGTGACTAACAGGCCCATTTTAGAGAACACAACTGCAGTTCAAACTATATGAAAGCAGAAGTCTGCTGCCTCAACCTCAGTGCCTAGTATTTCTGTTAACCATTACCATGATTAAAGTACAGAGAATCCAGTCACGCTGGGCTTAAAGGCTGATGCAAGCACTAGCACAGACATCAAGTGGGAACCTATTATACTCACACGGAGATCGGAGACTCCATCTCCCTCCGGATCCTCACGATTGGAGCAGTTCTGAAGTTTATATATCCAGTATTGTTTTGCTGTGATGAAAAAGTTCCAAGGCAACAGAGAGCCAATACCCAGGATGAAAAAAATAACATAGGCAGCATTTAAGCGATCTTTAGGCTTGTGCAGAATGTATCTGTTCCCCACTGGCTCCTCAATCAGAGGCTCTTCTTCTTGGTAAGAGGTATTCACTGGTTTATATGTGGAGTTTGCACTGTGTTGAAGTCTTTCATCTCCATCTTCCAAGTCAACAGCCACTTTAAGGGAAAAGCAAAAAGAGGAATTATTGTATATGATAAAATTCTACACCAGCTGGATGAAATATCTCAAGAAGCCAAGAAACACAAGGCGCACATTTCCTGTCAGCTTGCAGAAGAAGGCATACCAGTGTTCTCTTTCAGTCCATAGAAAAAGGAGGGCAGTGCATGCTAAAGAGAAAGCAGGATGAGATTGGGAACCAGGAACACTTATGTGCCAACAATTAATTTACCAAGCGGGCTTGGGCAAAACAATTAAATTCTGTGTTCACTTTCCCATCCATGCAGTGGGGAAACATAGATATTTTGAAGGTCAATGGGTCAGTACATATGCTGCTGGCAAAGAACAGAGATGCTATTACAGAGTCAGGTACAGGTTGAACCTCTCTAGTCCGGCACCCATGGGACCTGACTGGTGCCAAACCAGGGAATTTGCCAAACCACAGAAGGACAACAAACACTTCCACGGCTTACCAGGCTCTTAGAAGACATTTAGAGGTAAATTAGAGCTCACTAACAGCAGAGAACACTGAGAGCCAGGACTGGAGGCTGTAAACAAACTTTATAGGACCATGGGAAACTTGACCACACCCATAAGTGGACATCCAGCTAACTAAAATCATGCCAGGCCATGGATGTTGCCAGACTAGAGAGTGCTGGACTGGAGAGGTTTAACCCAGAGTATGATAAAGGAGAGACATGGTCACTGACCACACACAGTGAACAGGAGCTACAACAAAAGTTGGTGATGGTGGAAACAATGGGACAAAGACCCAGATGAGACACTGAAGGGATATGATGCAATGTATGAGGGGTTTCAGGCACAATGTTCTGCTCACTGGCACAAGAGCAGATCTAAAGGAAATCAGAAAAAGCACTGGGCCAACTACACTAACTCCAACAGAAGTACAGAAAGAACTGTCATGCAATCAGACAGGTCCACCTATGGCAATATGTAGGGCATGTCTGGTGGAGTCCCAATAAGCGCCTTGCTTTAATGTCAATGCTTCCATCATAAACCCTCATCATATAGAACACAAACATCTTCCATGCCCTATACAAGGGGCTTCAGAGGGGTAGCTGAGTTAGTCTTTAAAGTGCTACCAGACTATTTGTTGTTTTTTAAGTTTACCCTGTACAGACTAACAAAACATGTAGATGGTATCATGAGCTTTCATGGGCACAACCCACTTCTTCAGATGACCAGAGTGTTGGATGTCCAGAACCCATCTGAAGAAGTGGGCTCTGCCCACTAAAACTCATGATACCATCTACATGTTTTGTTAATCTTTAAAGGGCTCCCAGACTATTGGTTGCTTTTTAAGTTTATACAAGGGGCATCAGCCTGTGCCTATCCTTAGAACCAAGGTAAAAATGAAATCTGATGGGTCACTTCTTTGGTATTTTATAACTTAAAGTACTTTAAGTACGGTATTTTATAACTTAAAGTACTTTAAGACAGGCTTACACTCAAAATACTGCATCAGCACAATCGCACCAATGCGCTGCAGCGCTTTAATGAAGCCGCTCTTATAGTGCTCCTATACCAGCAGTTAATCCACCTCTGGAGGCAGCAACTATGTCAATGAGCTATGCTCTCCCACCTACATGGCCCTGTCTACACAGGGGCTGTGTCTAGACTTGCCAGTTTTTCCGGAAAATCAGCCGCTTTTCCAGAAAAACTTGCCAGATGTCTACACTGGCCGCTTGAATTTCCGCAAAAGCACTGACTTCCTACTGTAAGAAATCAGCGCTTCTTGAGGAAATGCTACGCTGCTCCCATTCAGGCAAAAGTCCTTTTGCACAAAAGGGCCAGTGTAGTCAGCTCAGATTTGTTTTCCGCAAAAAAGCCCCGATTGCGAAAATGGCGATTGGGGCTTTTTTGC